GACGCGGCACTCACGAACCCACCTCTGCTGACTAGACCACCACCTCCTCCGCTGAAGTGGCACTCCCTCCTCTTGCTCCTTGCTCTATCTCCTTCCTCCCTAGACTGCAACTCTGTAATTAATAATTCTTTTCTGATGTGGAAGATCAGTCAAAGCTGCAACCACAGATCATACTAAGAATTATAATTACTAGATCACCCGGGCTTTGCACCTTGGCTCTGATACCACTTGTTGGCCCCTACTGCAAATAAATGGAAAGAAAATAAAAGAGAGCACACAAATTTTTAACGTGGTTCAGCACCTCAAGACCTACTCCACGACCCCCTCTGGGATAAAATCTCACTAGTAATTTTTGCACGGAAAAATTATAAACCCTCTCCAATATTTGACACTCACAACCTAAAATCTAATACACAATTATATAGATTGAAAGATTGTGTTGTGTGATGGAAGCCTATATCTCCTCTTTATTTATAGGCTACAATCCCTCCTCAATTTTCCTATCCCACCGATGTGGGACTTTGAAGTAACACTCAACAAATTGGTAAAATTTGACTATAAAGTAAATGAAAGTAATACTCCCTCCGTCCCAAAAAGAATGGGACGGTTTGACTTTTTGAGAAATTAAGGGAGAGATATTTTGGTATCGACTTTCCAAAAATACCCTTGATGTGATGGGTAAAAGTAGGATATGATGGGTAGATTATTAGAAAAAGGTATAACGTGATAGGTAGGGTATGAAAAAGTAAGGGGTAAAAGTGGTTTTTTAATAGAAATGTAACGGACTTTACGGGACGCAGTTTTTTCTAAACGTAACAAACTTTTTGGGACGGAGGGAGTATTTTCAAAATATTATTCTATCTAACTAGTATACAATATATATTTTATTTAATTATAGGTAAAATATTAAAAATGATTAACTAAAAAAAAGTCAAAAGTGAACAAATACTCAGGAATGAACATAGTTTATTTTTTAAAAAATATTTTATTTAAAAATTCGTATAAAAAATATAACTTACATATTTAAAAAGCACGTGAAAGTCTCTACAAAACAAGAGACAATAATAAATAGTAAAAAATTAAAAAAATCATTGTGAATTATAAATACAAGAAAGAAATATCAAATAAACAAAAATTGTCCTAAATTAAGTACCAATAGAGGAGGGAGGGAGTTGTTTTTTAAGAAGGAAAGAATGCTAGTTAGGGAAATTAATATATAGTCTTATTATTCCATCACCAAGCTAGACTGCAACCAATTACCAATCCATCATTTCTAGTGAGTATTTTTAAAGGTAATAAAAGTAGGACTCCAAAAATGGGTAGTACCATACGTACATCAATCTGTTGATAGTTTTCTACCACCAATCACCTCACATTAATGCCACCGCGACTTGCTCTCTCCCCCCTTTGTCTTTGTGTCTCCACGAAAATTCTCTCTTTCTAAATAATTGTCTTACTCCCTCTATTAATCTTTTTATAATCTCTATGATTTTTGAGGATTGATATTTGTATACCAAAAGTTGGACGCCGAAAATATTCACTAACATTTTGTGTTATTGTAATGTTTTACGATGATAGAAAATATCAGTGTAATTCTTTTTAGATTGAACTAACATTTTGTGCCAGTGTGAATTGTTAAAATGTTGATGCATCTATTTGTGGTATACTTCTTCGTGTACGCCTAGCATGGTTGATAATTTTTTATTGAGTATAAAGTTTTTTTTAAAAAAATCTTATTCTTAAACAAATGCTTGTTTAGGTTATATGAAAGTCCATATAAATTTTTAATTTTTTAAACATTTTCTCTTGAGAATAAGTACTCAAAATATGTTTTCAATTATTTATTTTAAAAAATAAGATTATCGACAAATAATTCCTTTTATAAATCGAATAGCAGGTGAGCAAATAATTCTCATGTAAAAAGCATTTTCGGTTTTTCGGTTGATTTTCAATTTTTTGTAAGAAAAATCCGAACCGACCGAATAATCAATGATTTTATTTTAATTTTTTTTTATTTTTTAGAATAAGAAAATATTTGATTAACACACATGCTTTTAAAAAAATTATTTGTTAATATTTTGAACATATTAATAAGAAAAGTGTAATTTTTATATGAAATGGATAGCATATATTAAAATAAAAATTAATCTACCTTACTAAATTAATGAAAATAGAAAAGTCTTAATCTAAATTTGTCTGAATTTATCATTATTGTTTGGAAGAACGGGCAAAAACTTGATTACTTAAAAATGATTTTACGTATAAATTGATATAAGATAAAAAAATACAAATTTCACCATTAAAAATAATAGTCCGTATTAAAACTTTTACAAAAATAAGAGACGATAATAATTTTTTTACTTTATCAAATGATAATAAATAAAAACATGCATACAAAAATAAGTTATTGAAAAAACATAATAATAACAAATTGAAAAGATGAGTTTTTATTGGGTTCGAGTATCTAATTTTAGTTCAAATATAAACAAGACTTACTAGGAAATAATTTTAGTCATTTACCCCTAGTCTATGAGTATGAGACGACTTCAAATTATATGGTATAGTTGAATGTATCTTTCACTAGGTGAATTAAAAAATGTTTCAAAATGAACATCACGCGGTATCAGAACGAATACTATGCTGAGCACATCTCAAAACGAATCCTGCGTTGGAAATAAACATCCTCTCAATTCAAAAATAAACTTTTTTTTGTTGTTTCAAAAACAAAAAAAAGAAAATTCCTTAAATAGGAGTAAAACATATATCATATCTTCAAAATAGGAGTTCAAACTTAAACTCTTCTAAATAGGAGTAATTAATTAAATTTTGTTTTGTTTACTCTTCCGCACTAACCACACCACATCCCAGCCCTATGCGGTCGAAAAAGTCACCCGGCCCCTTCCCAATCTCCTCTCCGCCGCTACCATCTGCTCTATGCAGTAATGATTCCACCGCACTCTCCATCATCTCCTTTTGTTTCATACACACAATCTCCTTCCACCCTCTCCACCATTTCTATTTTTCATCGCTTGAATGCCTCCGTCCCCTTGGGTAAGTTTGAATTCAATTTGATATTTAATTTTACATAAGTAGTTAAATTCAATTTTAAAACTAAAAATTTACTTTTTTGGGAATTATTTTGTAAAATTGGTACTAATTCTTTTATCCTTGCATGAGTTTGAAACTTTTAATCAATTTATATTCAATTTCACATAGGTTGTGACATTTGATTTTAAATCAAATTTTACTTCTTAGAAAATTATTTTGTAAAACATATATTAAAACTAAATTATTATTGTGTTGGCAAATAGAGTTTTTTGATGTTTAACTTTTTTGAGATTATGCATTAACATATGTGTTATATGTAAAATTATACATTGACATATCTGTCATTATACATTTCCAAATGTGGCACTATATATTGTCATATTTGGCATTATTTATTGGTTTGGCATTATACACTTACATGTATGACTTTATACAATGATATTATTGTCATTATGCGGTTACGTGTGGCGTTAAATGTAGTCTTGTTTAACACTGTATAGACATTTTACTGTAGTAATTTACTGAGTTCATATATATTGCTTAATAATTTTGACATACATCTACAAGGTATTAATCAAGTCTCATAGATTTATTGATTAAGAATTTTGGCATTAAGCATGTGGTCTTTTTTGACACTCTATGGGCCTGAGGTAACACTTAAAGATGATGTTTATCAACTTTTTTTTCTCTTCATAAGAATGTCAAATCATCAAATCAGAATATTTGCGTTGTGAACTAGGATACACATATAAATATTCAAGAGCAAGGTAGAAATAGTCGTATTTGTCTATGGTACCGAGCTTTGGATGTGATTTTGTTGTCGTCCCTTGACAATGTCGTTAAAAGAATCATTTATTGACAATATTTTAACTTTGGGTAAAAAAAATAGCCGGGTTAGTAGTTAGCCGTTATTTTGATAAAAAAATAAATATAATGTCCTATTTTATTTTTTGACTCAAAAGTATAAACTATTTGTAAAACCAACCTTTTAATTCAAAAATAGGTAATTGGGTTGATCTCGTAAAAAGGTGACTAATAGCAAAAATTTTGTTAAGTTTAGACTTTGGTGTAAAAAGTTATGAGCAAAATAGATGTTATAATTCAATAAATAAATATAAAGATTTTATAATATAATAATATTAAATAATCAATTTTCTAATCCATTCTCATTCCTACTCATAACTCAATGCCAATGCCCAGTCCCCTTAAGTGTGTAAATACACACGCATGCAAGAAAAGATAAAAAAACAAAGGGAGAAGACAGTGTGAGAAGAGAGAATTGAGAACAAAAATTAATTAATAATTCATATTTAGAGGAATTTAAGTTTTAGCTCCTATGAGAATATAACATAACTTTTACTCCTAATTTGGTTCTTCTCCCAAACAAAAAATAATATTCGTGAGAGCAAGACATCCCTAACTTTACATATAGCCGAGTATCAAGAGGAGACTAGGAAGAGAGAAAAGAAGCAAAATAAAGGGGTCAAAGGCATCCATCACATCCCAATTCCATATTGTAGCCTAAGTAACTAGCTCCCTCCCTTATGATCTTCAATTCATTCCTGTCTAACCCCGGCCCGGCCCGGCCCGGCCCGGCCCTTTCTCTCTTCAGATTTCAAAGATTCTGTGTTGTTTTAAAAAAAACAGGCCCGCCCAGCTTCTCTGCACAAACTCAGTCATCATCATCATCCCTAGTCTCCTTTTTCAAGATTCTTATTTTTTTTAAAAAAATAAAATAAAATGAAAATGAAAAGTCTTCCTTCTTCTTCTGCAAAATTTGCAGTAAAAAGGTAGGTACCACCTATACCCAGCCACTACCTCTCCCTGCTTCATTATTATTTACCCTTACATTCCAACTATCTTGTTAAGGTTTAGCT